GATTAGGTATGGCAGTGACCAGTGATGTTAGGACATTTGTTCCACCTTTAGATTTATCTCCGTTCCCAGTATTAGCCAAGGCATCAGTTGTACTTTTTGTCAGATCTATTCCCTGTTATAAAATTTGACAGATTGATTATTTTATAACTTTTCAATTTTTCTTGCATTATCAATTTAGGTCTGATGAACATATTGAAAATTATGCAAACTATATTTCTGTAGAACTTGATAAACCAGAGTAGAGAAAAAAACACTAAGTCAGATACAGCATGATAAAGCAGGGTCAACAAGGTATACCTCATGTGCCAGTCTGCAGGAAATGGTTCAGCAAAAGCATTCACAAAACTTAGCTCAAGTTAAAATCTGTATGTTAAGGTTAAATAATGGTAGCAAATTCAAAAGAAGAAAATATTCCCACCAAATATTCTGTATTGCCTGTAAAGATTGGAGTCAAATATCTTTTAATTCCACTAATCAATAATTAAAAAAAAAAGTATATAAATTGAATTGGGCTATTATTCTAGCAACATTCAACCCAATCTTTAGATAATTTGGAACGATTACTATTTTCTTCAATCTGACCATGCTTACCATTTCCTGAGCCACAGCATCTTCATCCAGTACAGCTACAAAATTAACAGATTCTGGACTGTTATTATACAATAATGCACATTGTGTTCTGTCACACCCATAATAGGTACTGCCAAACTGTACACAATCTAATGGTGCTCCACTATCTACAGATAAAACTTCTAGAGCTCTGTCAACTAATCTTCCCTTTATTGTCAATTGTTTAGGTTCTCTTCCTTCTAGTTTTACTCTGAAAAAATATGAGATAATTTATTATTGCAAATCCCTAACAGACATAAAAATAATGAGAGTTTAATAATTGAGATTTTAAACCCTGCTGTAACAGATATACTCATAGATATTTATAAGAAAATTAGAGTGTCTATCAATTCAATCATTGTCACGTCACATTTTGGTCTAAATTCAAAAACATTGCAATATTATCTAAACTTACAGCACTTGTCTGTTTTATTTTTACTGCAACATTTGCAAATTTCATTTTTTTTTGCAATGGAAATAAAATGTATTTTTTCAATTAGAATATTTTAGATATGGAGCAATGAGGCAGCAATCAAATAATACAAAAATCAGAAAAACATAAAGGTCAAGTCTTTTGTGTAAAAAATCCTTTCTCATCTATAGAAATAATTCCAGTTATGAGTTAAGATACTTGCCTAACATGCTCTTCTAAGTTTCCAGGTTCTTTTGTTACATATTCAATCTGCAAAACAAGAAATAAGAAAGGATTCAAAAATATTGCTTGCACAAATTAATATTTAAATCATATTAAAGCATTAATGTATGGTATTTTTTTCTATTCATCCAAAAAATATTGTAGCTATGAATTTAAGAATATTTTTTACTATAGTAGTCATTAGACAACATTTGAACAATATATGAATATATGTTATTTAATTTGAATTTTGCTGCCCTAGGTAATCATGGTAATTTACAGAATGTAATAGGGAACATCAGGAGAAGTTTGGACTCTTGAAAGATACTGAAACAAGCCAGAAATTGAAATAAATCATTGTATTTGACAGTTATGCTCATCATTGCAGGTTTGTAGTACATGTATTTTTATTCTAAGCCAATACAGATGCACATTTTTACCTTTATCAACTGTACACTTTTAGGAGGTACATTGCCACTGGTGGGAACAATGGCTAAAGGTTTGTCTCCTGAATACTTCAGTTTAAATTCTCCAGCTTTAGATCCATGATTTGTTAATGCTATTTCTTTTGATATTGTTTTACTGCTGGCTACAAGACTTCCGAAGTCAACAACTTCTTCAATTTCTAACATAGGCTGCATAGGATATCTATGATTAAAATAAATAATACAATATAGGTCAGGGCAATCAACAATTTTAAACTTAAAATAACTGTGGATGATTCCTTTACAAATCAATTGATAATCTGATAGAAAAAATTTAGACTATTACTTTTCAAAGTGTGCTAAATAGTCTCTGAACTTGCTGTAAGTTCTTCGGTTCTTTTTGAAGATTCCCCAGTAACTGTAGTGAGTTAATTAATTTTACCTGTTTACCCCCCCCCCCCCCCCCCTTTCCATTATATCTTTGGAAATTGTGTCTCTGTATTATAGACGGAATATACTTTTTTGTACAAAATTTAAATAATTATTTCTGTCCAAAAAATCCTAACATTAAAATTTAAAATATGAAACTAAGAACTTACGCTATTAATGGTATTTCAGCCACATCTCCATCAACAGTTACAACCAGTCTATCACGAATCTCTTTTGCTTCACTGGTTTCAAATTCAACAATAGCTGGGACGCATAAGCCTGATGCCACTGGCTTTGTAGGGTTTTTTACTTTTAGATTGAAGAACTAAAAAAGAAAACATTTCTTGCTAAAAGAACAACTCAATTATTTTTTAACTGTCCTTTTAATAGTTTTATATTAGAGAGTAGCAAGCATGAGTGAATTAACTTTATAGATACTTTAGTTTTCCCTAGTGAAGATTTTATGGATCAGGCAATTAATGGTTTACATACATGTGATGGACTGTGAAACTCAGATCAGGAGATTGGGAAATTTTGGTCAGGAGATTAGGACTCAGATCAGGAGGTTTTTAATCGACATAAATTTTGTCATAATTGTAACCGTGTGCTGTAGAAATTGTCTTATAAAGTGTGTTTTCTTCAACTTTCCATCTTTATGTATTATGTTAATAGTACCCTTGTACTTATAAATTTTCTCTATCTTTATTCAACATGTTCAATCTAACATTCTTTTTTTTTAGTATGTTCTTTAAATTTTTTATTTTATATCTTTTTTATCATTATTCTTGCAATCAGAACATTTGATTAACTATCTTTTTTTTTATCTTTATTAATGTCTTATAAAGTGTGCCTAGAATTTATTTGCATGTTAAAAAACACAAGGGTCATAGTTATTATATAAATTTCAATTTAAGCCTTGAAAGGAAGTATAGAACCCTCTAATAATTTTCAAATTATTATTTTTTTATTTGTCCTAACACATTCAAAATCATTTAATTACCATCCTTTTATGATTATTTGTTCAATTTATATTTTATTTATATTCTTTTAAAAAATTACATTATTTAAAGGAAAGTAACTTAAAACAGGATAAATCAAGGGAAGTAACCCAAAATTCATTTCAATTATTTTTAAATACACAAAGTTTTTATTACACAACGGCAGTTAGCCTGAGGTAAAAATCGTTGATTACCAGTATGCTTGACACCAAAGCTGACAAGTGAAGCTATATAATTATGCATGTTAATTGATTTACAGGTAAAATATAACTTCAGGTAATGCCAGTTACACAGTCACCAGATATGTTGGGCTAAAATTTTTCATTCATGAAATATTTCATACACGGGATTTTTTTCTCTTCAACAGGAGGTCGGGAGGAGACCCCTGAAAATGGGATTATTCCCACATGTACGGGTTTAAATAAAATTTGTTTGATGTTTTCATAAAATGCTTTGTTTAAACTTATTATAACATATTATGGATAAACAAATTCTGTCATGTTTGTACAATCAACAAAACAGAACTAACAAAAAATTTTTATACTGTAACTATAAATTTCACTATGCTTAAGATATATCCGGCACAGCCGGTGTGGACACGTGTCCCTCCGGAAGTAAGAGGGTTAATCTCAAATAATTTTTAAATATATTTTTTTTCTGCATTTGAGTTTAGGTGGAATTTAAATAGACCTTATCCTTATTTACATTCCACGACACCTGACTCAAGATTTTATGAACTATTGACATTGTGCAACAATAAAAGGCGAATTTAGGGGCCTCACATGTACGTTTGTAGCTACATACACCAATCTTGATTTTTTTTATGAATGAGTTACACCAAATGACCTTGGATCAATCGGCGTAAACAATGTCATCAAACAATCAAATCTTACTGTGACATAATAACATAGCATTGTGACATAGGAAATTTCAGGAACGTGCATGAATAGACCCTTTTACAGTTATTTCAACCATGTTGAATAGGGGGAAGATTTTCATAATGGACATGATGGAGGTGCAATACTATGAAAAATACAGGAAAACATCATTGAAACAGAACAGTTACGTGAAAAACTTTCATAGGATTTCCTGTTTCCAGTACTTTCTTACTATTTCCACCTCTAACCAAAAAATATGCCCCCTATTCTATGGCTGCAATAAGCCAATATGGCAATAACCGTGAAGTGGCCTATTTGAAAGTCATCTATATGATGCCAGGATTTGATGTTTTTTTCAGCAGGAATGCAAGGTTAACACTTTTTGGGACTCTGGAATTTAGAATCAATTTTACGGGATCAGGGAAAGAATGCTTCATTTTTGGGGGAATTCACAATTTTTTTCTCTGGAAAATTTGCTAAAATTGGCTTGCTGATAAACAATGTCAAAGGACTAGGACTTGGGTCAGGGTTTAATAAGTATGGTTTATATATTAGCTGTTGCATATACTAATGTAAACAGACGACTTAAATCCTACTCACTTTAGATTTTGGTCCATAGAATCGTATGCTTTTACTTGATTTGCTTATGTTTTTCACAGTGATGTTCAGCTCATGAACGGTGTTGACATCTGTGTCAAAGAATTCCAATTGCGGTGGTGATATTCGGACACCGAACGTGTCACCTTCCATGATGCTATTGAACAAAGATGTCAATTATTTTTTTTTAAAAACTTCAAACTGTTACCGCCATATTGTTTGGGAAGGTTGCTCGGGGATTTTTTAAGCAAACAAAATATAACCGCATTTTCGTAAATGAGTAAAACTTTAAAATTGTTTTATCATATTAAAATAAAAACAATCATATTTCTTTTTGACGCTATTATATCTGATCTGATATATCGTAGAATCAATAAAAACTTAATTTGACATTTATTCAGTCCGAAAATACCGTTAAATAAACTAGTTATACATCGCATAGCAACCACGCCATCTTTAGTAAACGACCCAATCTTACAGTCGTTTCAAAACAAAAATAAACGATGGGAGTCGATTATTACAATATTTTGCAATTAACAAGGAGTGCAACAGATGCAGACATTAAGAAACAGTAAGGAATTGATGTTTTAAATTACAGGATCAAACATAATGTTCAAAATGCATAAGAACTCACTGATTATAATGATTTCACTTTCAATCATTTTATGTTTTTATTTAATTTAAATTCATTTTGATAATGTGCATCTACATCTATACACTAAACTCTCACTTTTTAGTCTGTTCAGTCTCCCATTTGCCAAGTAACAGGTTGGGAATAACCCCTCAAATGAGGGTTAAAACCTAAATGTAATGACTATCCCTGTGCGATGGGATTGTATCATTTGTGATAATCCAAACTACAATTCCTTATGCTATGGTTCAACAGCTATCTCAACAAACAATAGCTTTAACTTATTACTAGATGGTACATTTGATATGAGTACAGCATCCCAACAAGAATGTGTAAAACCAAAACACACATCAACTCCAAAGAGAGAAAAACAAGAAACTAGGAATAAACCATTTATACCATTAAGGATCCTAAATGTGAATTGTCAGTCCATCAGAAACAAACAACACCAAGTCCAAAATCTTATAGATAGTACAAAGCCAGACGTAATGATAATGACAGAAACTTGGTTGGATTCATCAATCACCAACAGCCAAATATTCCCTCCAGAATATAACATCTATCGCAAGGACAGAAAAGAAAATAAAACTGGGGGTGGAGTCCTTATCGCCATACACAACAAGTTTCTAAGCACTGAAATACCAGAACTAGACACTAACTGTGAAATAATATGGGCACGAATACAACAAAAAGGCACAAAAGACCTCTACATATGCTCATATTATAATCCAAAAACATCTAACAAAGAGAGCCTCTCAGAATTTGAAACAGCTGTAACTAGAGCCTCACAAAACAATGCATGCTTAATGATTGGGGGTGACTTCAACCTACCAGGATGGAACTGGACAAACAAAACAGTCCGCCAAGGAACTCAACATGCAGAACAACATTACCAGCTTACAGATATTCTTGATGACAATGGATTAACTCAATTAGTACAAGAGCCAACTAGAAATAAAAACACTTTGGACCTTCTTATAACCAACTGTCCTAGTAAAATGATGAGACTTGATGTCATTCCAGGAATTTCAGACCATGATATTGTGTATGCAGAAATGAACACCAATCCAATGACAAACAAACAAAAGCCAAGAAAAATCCAACTGTATAGAAGAGCTAAATGGGACAGCATAAAAGAGGATATGAATTTGCTTTATATCAAAATTCAAAAAGAAAGCCTGAACAAGAAGACAAACATCAATATACTCTGGAACATGTTCAAAGAAGACCTAGAAAGCAGTACTAACCAGCATATACCTTCCAAAGTATGCAAGACTAAGGACAAAAACCCATGGATAACCCAGGAAATCAAAAAACTTATGAGACGAAGAGACCGAGCTTATAAAAAGAAAAAGAAATCAAACCATGCTACTGATGTTAAAAGATTTAAACAACTGAAACAAACCATCCAAAGAAAATCAAGACAAGCCTATTGGAAGTATATAGAAGACATAATAACTCCAGAAGATAACGAGGACATCCGTTCACCAACAAAAAGATTCTGGACCTATATCAAACACAAGAAAAGTGATAAAAATGGAGTAGCACCACTTAGAAGAAATGGGAAATTAGAAACTGACCCAATAAATAAAGCCAATATTCTAAATGATCAATTTCAATCAGTCTTCTCTGCTGCATGTCCAATCAGTAAACGAGATTTTGAAAAGAAAAAACTCATGTCAGATCTACCAGAAAATTATCCAGACAGCGAACAAATAATCATCACAATTAATGGAGTGGAAAAACAGCTGAAAAATCTAAAACCACACAAGGCTGCTGGACCAGACAACATCAAGCCAATGATTCTGAAAGAACTAGCCAGTGAAATTGCTCCAATCTTAACCATCATATACAATTTTTCAATGGAGGAAGGAAAGATACCCGATGACTGGCGAACTGCAAATGTCACTCCGGCATATAAGAAAGGCCAGAAATACATAGCAGCTAACTATAGGCCAACACAACTCCTTGAATGTATCGATGACATCACAAAAAACCTGGAAAACGGAAAACAATCAGATCTGCTAATACTTGACTTTTCAAAAGCTTTTGATAAGGTGTCCCACAGCTTACTCCTCCATAAATTACACCATTATGGCATCCGAAGTAAAACAAACAAATGGATAAAGGAATTTCTCACCAATAGAACCCAGGTAGTAGTTGTTGAAGGCGAAACATCTGACAAAGTAAAAGTAGAATCCGGAGTACCGCAAGGATCAGTATTAGGACCCAGTCTTTTTCTGTTCTACATCAACGACCTACCAGAAGGCTTACACTCCACAGTGAGACTGTTTGCGGACGATACTGTGGTCTATTTGACAATTTCATCAGACAGCGACTGCCATAAACTCCAAGAAGACCTGGACAAACTGGCAAAATGGGAAGAACTCTGGAAAATGGAGTTCCATCCTGAAAAATGTAGTGTCCTCACTGTTACAAAAAAGAAAAAGCCAACCAAGTGGGACTATAAACTCCACGGCCATACTCTGGTGCATGAAACATCAACTAAATACCTAGGCTGCACCATCGCAAATGATCTAGATTGGGGAGAACATATAAACAACATCACAGGAAAAGCCAGCCGAAGCCTTGGTTTCCTACATCGAAACCTCCACATTAGCTCAAAATCCATCAAAGAGCATGCCTATAAAATATTAGTAAGACCGCAAATGGAATACGCCACGACAGTATGGGACCCGTACCAGCAAAACCACATAGATAAAATTGAAAAAGTACAAAGAAGAGCTGCACGATATGTAACCAGCAGACATAGAAATAGATCAAGTGTCAGCAACATGATAAATGAATTAGGATGGAAAAGCTTACAAACAAGACGAAAAGAAGCATGACTCATCATGTGTTACAAAATAACAAACGACCTTGTAGCCATAGACAAGAATAAATATCTACAAAAACCAACAAGAAGCTCAAACCGGACAGGACAACATACTTACCTATTACAGCCAGCCACCAAAGACTGTAGGAAATGGTCCTTCTTCATAAACACCGTCAAGGATTGGAACAAACTGCCACCAGATACCGCCACAGCAAAGTCTCTTGAGATATTCAAGTCTCAAGTCACCAAAACCACAAACTAAATCAACAGAACAATTTGTTTTTATCCTGTTTTTAACCTGTTTTTAATCATGCGCAACTTGCCAGAATATTCATCATGTTGAATGTGGGCAGTATATGGAAGAAGAAGAAGATCCCTTTTTATGAGGGGCAGAATTTAACAAAAAACATTTCTAAGTACAAAAGGGCATGTGTTTATATCATTTGCAGAAACTTTGCCAAGAGAACAATATGTCTATCTGGTATTATCTTAACAAAACATGTCTTTTGATTGAGTTAAGCCATTTCAATTGATATTTTATAGGATGTCTTTCTATGTTGTGATGTTACACTATATTGTTTCAGGTAGGGTGAAGGTTGGCGCCTATTTAAACGTTTAAACCCGTTGCTTTTGTTTGCACCTGTCCTAAGTCAGGAACCTGATGTTCAGTGGTTGTCGTTTGTTGATGTGGTTCATAAGTGTATCTCGTTTCTCATTTTTTATATAGATAAGAATGTTGGTTTTCCTGTTTGAATGGTTTTACACTAGTCATTTTTAGGGCCCTTTATAGCTTGCTGTTTGGTGTGAGCCAAGGCTCCATGTTGAAGGCCGTACTTTGACCTATAAAGGTTTACTTTTACAAATTGTGACTTTGATGGAGAGTTGTCTCATTGGCACTCATACCACATCTTCTTATATTGTAATATTCATGGATTTCAATCTTCTTTTTCTTTGAAAATAAGAGGACCCCACTTTTCCAATTATAACGAATTTTCCCCCTTTTCAGTTAAAAAAGCAGAGTTATTATTTTTCCCTTTCTACATTTACAACAGCAAAATAACCCCTTGTCCGAGGGACAGTCCCTCATTTAAGGGATATCTCTCGTTTGGGGGGTTGTTCCCAACCTAAGTAAGTCAAATGATGGACCAGAGCTGTGCCAGCAGGGATTATTCCCTGGTACCTCCCTGGAAGCAGGATTGGATCAGGCCAGATGAACAAAAAGCAAATGGGTAACCCCCTTTCTATATTTTTTTTTATTTATTTTTTTCCATCATACCCTTATACTTGCTTTATATATTTTTGGTTTTATCTTATAAAATTACTCTTTTTCTTGTCCCCACCGGAAGCGTTGGATACTTGTCAGTTCAACGTATGATGTAGATACATTTGGCTGTCAATCCTGACCTTTAACAAACGCTTGTAGTGGAGTAGATGCATTACAAGGCTGATGACATTTTTATAAAATGCCAAACCTAAGATAAGGAATGAAATATCTTGATCAATTATTCCCACGTGACACAACTGATACATTCATGAATCAACAAGATTTTATTAGAAAGGTCCTCTTCATTACGCTTGGGATACAGTTTACCGTACCTTTAAAACAGTTGGTACAATTTTGAATATAAATATGTACCTAGGGTTCTGCAGTTGTAGTACTCCACATGTATGTGACGTTGACCATTTCACTGGTATTTGATTCCAAACCAATTTCAGACTCTTAGCAGAATTTTGTCAGGTAAATGCTGTTATAGGGGCATGTGTAATTGACAATTTTTTCTGGTGAAAGACATACTTCAAGAAATAGCCTCTTCCCCTTCCAACTAATTTCATCACCATACTATGTAACTCAGGTTTGCACTTTGTGCAGCCCAGCCAAAAAATGAACAGTTACCTTAACTAGTAAAAATGTTTGTGCTAATTGCCTGTGTCTTTATTAATGCATTTCTTCCTGTACATATCTTTATTTTTTCTCTTTACAGCTACAGAAAATTAGCTTTGAAATTTCATCCTGACAGAAATGATGGTGATCAAAATGCTCAAGACAAATTCAAACAATGTGCTGAGGCTTATGACATTTTAAGTGATCGTAAGTAGTCAAGTGTAGAAAAACTCTTATACATGTATAGTTTGCATTTGATACAGGCCTATACTGTAAATAATTACAAAGTGTTAACTTTACAAACCTCCTTTAAAGTGAGAGTTTTAGGAAATTTTCAAGAAGTATATTTGCTGTAGAACCAATTGCATGTTGTTTTTCATGATATTTTTTCATACTGGTATAAACAGTTGAATTATAAATGTTTTAATTTTTTAAAATCAACCTTTAACTGAATCCATCCAATAACAAGTTTAAACAAATGTAATGTTACGTTTTACAGATTGGTTATAGTGAAAGTATGGATTTTTTTCTGTAGGGTGGTAGATGTTACCTCCCTGTCAGATAAGTTGTCTTCCGACAGAGATTTTAAATTTGTTAGGTTTCCTCTGATGTCTTGAGAGTTGAATCATATGAACCATTTTATCCTAATCTAAAATCTTTGAGAGGGAGTGAGTTCTCCTTCCAGAAGACAGTATGGAGAAGTGAATTTCAATTATAGTTTCGGCCATCAACACCCTTAAAGATGAACATGCGTTTATGTTATAAGTTAACTGAAAGATGACCTGAAGCTGAGTTTTTTCTGTGTTATGTGGTGTATGAAGTTAGTTAATAGATACATTAATCTAACAAAATCTTTTTTTTTTCAGCAAGAAAGCGGGCAGTGTATGATCAGTTTGGAGAAGAAGGCCTAAAGAATGGTGTTCCTCATGGTAGTGGGGAGGCAGGTGCTTGGACCCAAGGTTACACATTCCATGGAAATTCAGAAAAGGTTTTCAGAGAATTCTTTGGTGGTGATAATCCATTCCAAGGTAAGATATAAAATAAAGGCATACAAAGAAGGATAACTTTATCCTACCTTTCAACATATTAAACAAAACCACCAAAAAACTGCATACGATACCAGATAAATTAACTAAATCTGTCATTCTTAAGGCCAATTTCCTCTCAGGTCCATCAGATTTATGTCCAAAGCAGAAAATTACACAATAACTTGTTGAAAATTGTAGATGTATCAGAAACCATCAGGATAGACCAAGACCATAACATAAACAGACCATTTACCTGGTTAATAATAATAATATCTACTGTATTTTTTTCATTACTTTTTGTAGAATTTTATGACAGAGTTGATGGAGATTTAAGCATGGGATTTGGTGGTTTACAAGGCAGAGGACATAAGAAACAAGATTCACCAATAGAAAGAGAACTTTTCTTGTCATTGGAAGAAGTATTTCATGGTTGCACCAAAAAGATGAAAATTTCTAGAAGGGTAAATAAAAAACATGATAAAACTCATCAAATTCAGTAATTTATTTCAGTTGCTTTTCAAAAATTTATTAAAATTCTGCTAACATTTCATGTAATTCACCTTTGTTGTCTGCATTTCACTATCACTACATGTATAACTTATGTCTACATTTCTCAACAAAATTTTTTTTTTTTGCATTTTAACACGATTTTAATAAAAACATTTGTATCATCATTCCGGTAAATAAATTGAATTTTGTAATATTCTGATAAATTTGATTAAATAACAATAAATAAAAACTATCCATATACGAATGAAGAAGTATTAAAACTTGTTTTTAATGTAACATTAAAATTAAAACCCTAGCATAGACAATTAATAAGTTTATTAACATTATGTCTTTTAGTTGTTGCAATTCAATCAAATTGATATGATTTTCCTTAGGTTATGAATGAGGATGGCCACACCTCCAGTGTTAGAGACAAAATTTTAACAATCACAGTTAAAAAGGGATGGAAACCAGGAACCAGAATTACATTTACAGAGGAAGGAGACCAGGGACCAAATAATATACCAGGTATGCTACACATCTAAAAGTGATTACTTCAGCATTAGGTTCTAGATTTATTTAATATTTTATAAACTTGAACATGTGTTGAAACTTAGTACAAATGTTCCCTATAATATGATCTTTCTAATTTTAATGTCAAATTAGAGTTTTGACCCCAATTTCACGATCCACTGAACATAGAAAATGATAGTGCGAGTGGGGCATCCGTGTACTATGGACACATTCTTGTTTAGGGTTATTTTAACAATTGTTGGGTATTGAAATAAGTTTTGTCCTAGTAAGACAATTTGATCAAGTAGTGACGTTTACCTTAGATACGGGGAGTTCACACTGAGCAATATAATTGGATTTGTCATCTGATACTGAATTTGTAAACACATTCCATACTCAATATTATAATAGGATTTACTTCTTCGAGAGGTTGGATAAAAATTACGTATTATTGCAGAAATGAGAACTCTTTCAATAATAATGGAGGTAACACAATGAAGTACTCTTCTTTGTACAAATGTATAAATACAAGTAGTACAGCTATAATTGCTACAAAGTACATTAATAAGATCATTTCAAGTATAAAACAAATTGAAACAATAATAGTTTCAATCACATATTGAAGATGTTTCCTATATCACAAATAAAGCATTATTCCTGAAGTAAAACCAATGGCCTTTTAACAAAACTTTTTTTCAGCTGACATTGTGTTCATCTTGAAAGACAAACCACATCCACGATTCAGAAGAAATGGTATCAACCTTGTACACACTGCCAAAGTTCCTCTGGGAAAAGCTCTAACAAACTGCACAGTAGAAATAGTCACATTGGATGACCGAATATTAAACATCCCAATCAATGATATCATAAAGTAAGTTATTATTTAAAAAATACAGGTAACAAATGTGTTAAAATATTTAAATTAAAGGCACTACAAGGAGGCCAAGCATGGCAATGCGTTTTCTGTCACTGTGTGAAAGCACATCTACAGCAATCTACTTTCAAACTAGTAAACAATATCAGTGGGTAAATATGCAAATAATCTGGATCAGCGCATATGATAACAAATAAAAGTAACTTAAATGAGAATGTATGAGGAAACATGGCTAAACCAAAACATATGTACAATACTGGTAAATAGTTTACAGTAAGCCACATTATGGTTCTTAGATGTTAGATTTTTAAAATAATTTTCATAGAAAAAGTTTAGAACTTTATCCAGTAAATGTACTTGTTTTTATCAAAACTGCAATCAAATATTATGTATCAACTTAAAATACATAAACCCCCTAAAAAACTATACTTAGATGCTATATTTACTAATATAGCACAAACATTTTTTTCTGCCTTAACTGCTGTATTACTTTTTCACAATATCTTCAAATGATTTTGTTATTTTTTTCAGACCTGGCTACACAAAAATAGTTCCCGGAGAGGGTATGCCAATATCACAAGACCCATCAAAGAAAGGAGATCTTGTCATAGAATTTGAAATTGAATTTCCAACATCTCTGTCACCTGAGAGAAAAGACTTGATCAAAAGAGCATTATTACAGTGATCTTAAAACTCCCATTGTGCATTTTTTGTAAAATTATAATTTTGAGCAAAATCTACTTCTTGTCAACATTTTATAAATTGTTTTAAATTATTTATTGTCTAGTACAAAAGATTTTGACAGTGCTTACAATTTTAAAACTAAGAAGAACTTATTTCTTTTGATACAGTACCTTTTTTATCAAGTAATTTTTGAAAAAAAAACATTTACAAAACTTATTTTATCTTAACATTGTTATACATGTATACTGTGATATTTCATGTTTGTATATATTGATTTAAGTATATAAAATGTCATTTATAATTAGTTTTTATTGAATTATTTGTAGTCTACATTTGTCTCTTCAGTAAATGCAATGAATAGTGGTACAATGTATAAACATTACCATATTCAATACTATGTAAAATGTAAACCAGGCAATGTGTTTTCAAGACATATATTTTCTACTGTCTCAAAATCCGTATGTTAAGTATAAGACCTAGTATCCTAAATGCAAAATTTACTGAGACTACAACATTTAAAAAGATTCTTCATCACTGAATGTTATAGAGCTATGTTTAACTTCATGACAATGGCATATGATTTGGTAAGATATCTTTTAAATACAACTCAGGATTCATAAAGCAGAAAACAATCTAAGCAAGATTTTATTTGTTTCATATGGTTATAAACCTGTTATTCAATTATAGGATTATATAATTTAAGCAACAAAGTCTTATTCAAATACCAAAATAAAACATCTGACTTCAGTTTGTTCATGTAAATTTCATGATAATCAAACCACTGTCTAGCACCTAGTATCACATGGAAATTCTGCACCAACAGTTCTGACAAACCTGGTATTCCCTGTGAATTTAAAGTAAATAACAGTTATGTAGCTCTTTTGCAGTATTTGTTAAGCATTCAAGAGCACCTAGTTTACAATATTTTTTCAGGAGCATCAAATATCTGTGACGTCAACCACTCTGGAGCACATATATATATATATATATAATATTCATAATTACTCTAAATATCAGCACAACAATGTTAAATCATCAAATTTGCAGAGGCAAATTTTTGTTCTTCCCTCACCGGGATTCGAACACATGCTATTAGGATATCGAGACAACACTGCCTGCACTGTGTTCAGCGCTCTAGACCACTTGGCCACCTAGACTGAACTAAAAATTCCGCTTTAAATGGCCTAGTGTTACCTTTCCTCATCAGCAGAATCTCGAGTTGTAACACAGTACATGATATATTAGGCATGAAGATGGAATTGATATATACATATATTAGTGATGTCAACGATTACTCAAGTACTCAAGTATCGCTCGGTAGTACCGAGAATCGAATACCAAAATGATACTCGATTAATCGGTTTCCTGTTAGAATGTTGTTGCCTTCTTAAAGAAAAAAATACTTTTATTCAGAGCACCTCCTGGGAAATTAAAAATAAATGAAAATTAAAATACGTTTCGAATGCTGCGTTTCATTGTCATTTAAAATTCCCTCGGACAGCGGTAGGCTATGAATAAGAGCATCTTTCCAAGGCTTACACTTGTCATTCCACCACCTCTGTACCGTCAGCGAAAATATTTTCATCAGCAGGACTGTTAGTTACGTAACAAAGTTGAGAAATCAACTCGTCCAAGAAAAAGTTGACAAGATAATATTTCTAAATAAGAACAAATTCGTTGCACCCTGTGTCGACCCTCAGAGAATGGTTAAAGGCATCAGTAAGTTCTAATCATACCCCTTTGTTGATCATTAAATATGTTTCTTTACGATTCCCAAATTATGTTGTTTGAGTAATGATTTTTCTATAGATGTTTATTAATTAATTGATTAGATTATTGCAAGTTTACATGATTAGTACATGTAGTAAATGAGCTATTAATGATGGTATAAAATTCCTTGGACTATTAACATAGTCAACTAGGTAATAATGTTGATGGTTTTAAGTCCATAAGACAACGACCAACAATACGTAAAATGGATATAATTTTGTGTTTCCATTTTGTAGTACTCGAGTATCGCTCGGTAAATCCAACGAGTACTCGATTAGTAAATCTTCACCGAGTTGACATCCCTAATATATATATTTACCAACCATACTGAAGAAACTCATAATACATAAACCAACCATTTTAAAGTACATAGTACAACTGCAACATATGTCAATCATTTGAGAAAGTTAAGTATCAAATATGCCGATAATTCAGCTATGCCACCTTGTATCACATACAACAATCATTCAGGAAAATGATCAAATATCATGTATGCCAACAATTCTATGCAACCAAGAATCATTTATGTCTTAGTTGTGTTTTGTGTACTGATGTTTGTCTTTTTCTCTTTAGCCATGGCATTGTCAGGTTTATTTTCGACTTATGAGTTTGAATGTCCCTTTGGTATCCTTCACCTCTCTTTCATGCCAACAATTTAGGAACACCTAGTATTGCATTTGCCAACCATTAAGTATGATCTAGTATTATATGTGAACCACATGTAAATGTCTTAGGTTGATGTCTCACTCATGTATAGACAGCATCTTTTTTAACATTTGGAGTACACATTCAGTAAATTCAGAAATTCAGAAATTTCTGGGATGTTTTTTTATTATTGTGAAAATTGCAAAAAGGTAGGTTTCACAAAATTTAAAAACTTGCATTTTAAATTTTTATATCATTTTTGTATGCAGGATTTCATGAAATCACATCAATAAATCAGTACTGCCAAGTTTTCATGATGCAAATGCTTGAAATTTGGCCAAAATTGTAAAGATCATAGAGAAAAAAACAAAAGATAAGGAAAATGCTGCCAAATAAGCATGAAAATGTGCGAGTCTCATGCTAATTGCGTGAGACTTGGCAGCCCTAATAAATGCGTCCTAATTTCTGAATTAACAGTATCTAGTATCATGTCTGGGTCACAATTCACTGATATACAGCTATACCACAATTATTGTCAGCATTTTCAACTTTCCTGCACAAGTGTCTGGTCTCAATGTTTTGGTTTTGAATAAGAGTTGACTTTCAGTCAATAGATGATTGGGCCCAAAAATACTGTTTCAATCTGTGGTTTTACCTACAAAGGAACCTGTGCCAATCAGAAATTTGTCTTCTAAATATCTAACTAAGTATTAAGTTTTAAGATATCTTTTTTTCCTTTTGTATCAAATCTTGTTTTGAACATAATTTTCTTGGTGCAGAAGGACAATAATATAGAAAATAAATGGAGAATGTGTCCCCATGGACACAGATGATGCCCCTGCTTGCATACAACATTATAAAGGGACATAACTCAAGAACAATAAAAGTGACGCTACCCAAATTTGTACTTGATCTTAGTTTTGTGGTAATAAGTATTTTGTATAGGTTTCATGTTTGGTTGGGGCAAACTTAAGTTACAGAACGAAACTAAAAATTTTCCAATTTTTCGATTTATAAAGGGGCATAACTCAATAATGGTTAAAGTGACACTACCCAAATTCAACTTGATCTGTGTTTTATCAGTGGAAGGCAAAATTGAACATTGCATTGTATAAATATTGGTTGTAGTTGATTCAACTATATTAATGGACAAAGGAAGATAAATCCAATTTTAAAAATTACTTGAACAATGACACCATTGATATTTTTAGAAAAAAAATGAAAACTTTAGCAATTTTTCCATTTGTAAAGGGGCATAACTCTAGAACAGTAAAAGTGACACCACCAAAATTCAAACTTGATCTGTGTATTGTGGTAATAAGCATTGTGTATAAGTTTCATAACATTTGGTTGAGGCAAACTTAAGTTAGAGAACGGAAATGATAAATTTTGCATTTTTCCATTTATAAAAGGCATAACTCTAGAACGGTTAAAGTGACGCCACCAAAATTCAAACTTGATCTGTGTTTTGTGGTAATAAGCATTGTGTATAAGTTTGATAACATTTGGTTGAGCCAAACTTAAGTTAGAGAACGGAAAACCAATTTTGAGACGTACGGACAGACAGACAAGGGTAAAACTTAATGCCCCCTCCACTTCGGCAGGGGCATAAAAATATGCATATTGTATGAAACATTAGAAAAAGACAAGTTTGAACTTGAAGTTAACTTTTGAAACAGTAATTTCAACACACAAAATACTCAAAGTCATCAATCAATAAAGTTGTAAAGGGACATAATTCATTTTTTTACCAAACAGCAATGAAGAAACAATATACACAACATGTGACATACCAGAAACAAGATTGGTGCTACTGGTGGAGCAGCAACTAACTGCTCACTCCTCCAGAGCATAACAGTTCACTCATTGGTTTATTTTAAAGAGTTTGTGATACTTTTGTCTTAGTTTTTGTGTTGCATTTGTGCTATTTTATTTTTCAGTGGGTAGGTTGGTTTTACCGACATAATGGTTTATCCTAGTCCCGAATTTTTTTCTTCTCAATCTTTCATATTTGATGATTTTATTGAAGTGTATCTTTTTGTACTCTAAAAGTTATATATGGCAAAAAACAAAACCACATTTTCTTTTATGTAAAAAGATCTTTATAAATAACAATGAAATCTATGTACAATATGTTCACAGTTTCGATAACAAAAGGTTCATGCAAACACTCATCTTTTTCACTCTAGGATTTACAAAGGCTTTCAAATCACATGCTGCATTTATATTGAGTCTGAAAATATAAAAGTATAGTTATCTATCAAAACAGATATCTCATTTAAGTATTACAAAGTTTGCTATGTAACAAACATGTTTAACCCCGCCACATTCTTTATGTGCCTGTCTCAAGTCAGGAGCCTGTAGTTAAGTGGTTGTCGTTGGTTCACTTCTGTCATATTGTTTTTTGTAAATTGTTTTGTTATAAATTAGGCTGTTAGTTTTCTCAATTGAATTGTTTCAAATTTTTCATGTCGGGGCCTTTTTCATTGTTGAAGGGTGTACTGTTGCCTATAATTGCTTACATTCACTTTATTTAAACTTTGGTGGATAGTTGTCTCATTGGCAATCAAACCACATCTAATTTTTATATTTATTTTGTAATTTTTTAGATTTGTAAATCTATGAACTTTATTCTATCTATATGTTGCATACTGGAAGAGAACACCAAATAATACATTTCCAATGAATTACAGAAGATACATTCTGCAATAATACTGTCAAAATATTTATGTTCTGGTATTTCTTTACTGATTTGAAATCAATGATTCTGTAGTTCAGCATAGTATGCTTTAAGTTGTCATTGAGAAGAATCAATGTTATTTTTTTCTTTCCTAAGCATGATATGTATCATATTTTCAATGAAATTAAAAAGACTTAGTGGGAGAACCG